ACTCCAATCTCAAATAAACCCTAACCTTAAAAAACCAACAACAACAGTGCTTCCTTTCCTTCGTAATTCTAATTTGGATAAACTTATTTATAACTGTTAGAAATTGTTTAGATGATAGTTGGTAGAAGATAGTTTTAGAGAGTAGTTTAGAAAGAAGGTTTTTGATTAATTTCTTGGATGATTGTTTACAATGTAGCAAATGCCTATTTATAGGCTCAAGTCACCAACCTTTCAATAGTGGTGAATATTCTAGAGTTCTCATGATAGGTTACTATCATGATAAATCTAGATTTTTCTATCTTTGCCATATACTTATATATCTAGATTATTCTACCATATTCATACACCTTATAGTTTCTAGGATGTTCTATATTTTGTTACATATTATATTTAAGAACTCTCTAGAAATTTGTAGCAAATTTAACACTCCTCCTTGATACAAATTTCTTTGACTCCAAGCATAGCTCGTAGCTCTTCAAATCTTGGTCTCGGCAACGCCTTCGTGAATATGTCTGCAATTTGATCTTCTGTTCTACAGTAGTCGAGTTTGATCTCTTTAGTTGCTTCAGCTTCTCTTATAAAGTGATACTTGATTGCTATATGTTTTGTTCTACTGTGATGCACTGGATTCTTTGCCATTGCAATTGCTGATTTGTTGTCGCAATTGATTTTAGTTGGCTGATCCTGGATTTCTCCCATGTCTTCAAGTATCCTACGAAGCCATATAGCCTGACTCGTTGCTTCAGCAGCTGCCACGTACTCTGCTTCTGCTGTGGATTGTGCAACCGTAGCTTGCTTCTTCGACGCCCAAGAGAAAATTCCTGATCCGAGTGAGAAAGCATAACCAGAGGTGCTCTTCATGTCATCTACCGAACCTGCCCAATCACTATCGGTGTAGCCAAGTAATCCTGAGTTAGTTTCGGTAGAGTACCATATACCTAACTCTTTTGTTCCTTGTAGATATCTCAAAATTCTTTTTCCCGCTCCAAAGTGTATTTAACTTGGACTTTGCATGAATCTTGATAGAAGACTTGTAGCATACATTATGTCTGGCCGCGTAGCTGTCAAATATAGGAGGCTTCCAATTAAACTTCGATATTTGGATGCATCAGCTTCTGGTGCTCCATCATTCTTTTGTAGTTTCTCATTTGTTATGAGTGGGGTAGCGACAGGTTTGCAACCGTACATCTTGAATTTCTTAAGTAAGCCTTCTGTGTATTTCTTTTGTGAGATGAATATCCCTTCATTTCTTTGGCTTACCTCTATACCGAGGAAGTAACTCATCAAACCAAGGTCGGTCATCTCAAAGGTCTTCATCATGTCTTCTTTGAACTCCTTTATCATCTTAGTATTGTTTCCCGTGTAGATAAGGTCATCTACATATAGAGAGAGTAAGAGAGTGTACTGACCTTGAGACTTGATGTATAGTGTGGGCTCACTCTTGCTTCTCCTAAATCCTTGATCCATGAAATATTGATCGATTCTGCTATACCATGCTCGAGGAGCTTGCTTCAAACCGTATAGTGCTTTTCTTAGTCTTAACACTTTGCTCTCTTCGCCTTCAGATATGAATCCTTGTGGCTGCTCCACATAGATCTCTTCTTCAAGTACACCATTGAGGAAGGCAGATTTGACATCCAGTTGATGTATACTCCATCCTTTTTGTGCCGCAAGAGCTATTAGAGCTCTAATGGTATCAAGACGAGCTACTGGTGCAAATGTCTCATTGTAGTCAATCCCAGGTTGTTGTGAGTAACCCTTAGCTACTAGTCTCGCCTTATGTTTCTGTATGGTGCCATCAGGATTGAGCTTTGTCTTATAGACCCACTTAACCCCAATGATATCTTTTCCATGGGGACGATTTACTAACTCCCATGTGTTATTTTTCTCGATCATCTTTATCTCTTCTTCCATTGCCTTGACCCATACTTCATGCTTTGATGCTTCTTCAAAGCTTCCAGGTTCGAGTATGGCCATGTTGCAGGTTTCATATATGTCTCTCAAAGATCTTACTCGTCTTGGAGTAGACTCTGGTGATGATAGTTCTTGAGCTTGTTGTTGTGGTGGAGGTGAAGAAGGTTCACCTAGGACTTCTTCCTCAGCTTCTTCTTGAGGTAGTTGAGTGGGTATAAGAACATTCTTCTCCACTTTTTCTTCATCCCAATTCCAAGAAGCATTCTCATCAACTTCAACATCTCGACTGATGATGAGTTTTTTTGTTTGCAAGTTATATACACGATAGCCTTTAGATATTGTAATATACCCCAAGAAGATACCTCGTATAGTCTTGTCTTCAAGCTTATGCCTCTTCACGTCTGGAATATGAATGTAGCATATAGATCCAAAGATCCTTAGGTGCTTTGCTGATGGCTTCTTCCCGTTCCAAGCCTCAATTGGAGTCTTATCTTGTACAGATTTAGTTGGACATCTGTTGAGTAAGTAAACAGCAGTGTAGACTGCTTCAGCCCAGAATGTGTTAGGTAGTCACTTCTCTTTGAGCATCGATCTAGCCATCTCCATAACTGTGCGATTCTTTCTCTCAGACACACCATTTTGCTGAGGAGAATATGCGACTGTAAGTTGTCGCTCTATGCCCTCATCCTCACAAAATCTATCAAACTCACGGGATATGTACTCTTTGCCGCGATCACTTCTTAGTACTTTTATCCGCTTTCCACTTTGATTTTCAACAAGGGCCTTGAACCTTTTGAATACTCCAAAAACTTCTGATTTTTCTTTCAAGAAATAGACCCATGTCATTCTAGAGAAGTCATCAATGAAGAGTATGAAGTACCTGTTGTTCTCGTGTGATGGCGTCCTCATCGGTCCACAGACGTCAGTATGTATCAGCTCCAACAGATCTTTTGCTCTCCATGCTCCGCTTGTTGAGAATGGAAATCGGTGTTGCTTACCAAGGAGACATCCTTCACACACTTCATTGTTATCCTTTATGCTTGGAAGATCTCTCATCATGTTCTTATCATGTAACAACTTCAAGGCATGTGTGTTGAAGTGGCCAAATCTTCGATGCCAAAGTCATGAATCATCAACTTGTACCTTCATGGCAATGTTAGTTGTATATTTTAAATTTAGCGAGAAGCTTCTATTGCTCTTATTCATCTTCACTTCGGCTATCTCGACCCTTTTATTCTTGTTGTCTAAGATTTTGCATACACCTCCTTCAAAGTGAAGTGTGTAGCCTCTCTCCATCATTTGCCCAATACTTAGAAGATTTTCTTTTAGGCTGGGAACTAGTAAGACATCATGGATGAGTCGCGTACCTTTATCTGTCTCTACCACGACGGTGCCTTTTCCTTTTGACTCAACCACACTTCCATTTCCTAGTCGAACTTTGACTTTGACTGACTCATCAATGCTTTTGAAAATAGTCTCATCCTTGGCCATGTGATTGCTACATCCACTATCCAAGTACCAACTTCCTCCTTTTTCTTTGATTGATTCTTGAGTGGCATAGAACATACATTGTTCTTGATCATGCTCCTCTGCGATATTAGCTTGATGCCTATTTTTGTTGCGACAGTGTTTCTCTATGTGCCCGAATTTCTTGCAATGATTGCATTGTGGCATATTACGGTACCAACAACTTTTCTCCGCGTGGCCTAGTCGTTTGCATATATTGCATGGAATATTTTTATCTGGATTGTTCTTTTGGAAATTTCTAGGAACTTCTCTTCTTTTGGAAGTTTCACCATAATTTTTCTTTCCTCCATTTTCTTTATTTTGGGACTTAAATTTGAGCTTTGACTGAAAGGCATTTTCAAGTGTATCTTCTTTATGCCTATGTAGTCTTTGCTCATATGCTTCAAGAGAGCCCACTAGTTTTGTCACTAATAGAGTAGACAGATCTTTGGTTTCCTCTATTGTTGTCACGATTGGGTCAAATTTTGGGGGCATACTAATTAGAATTTTCTCAACAATTTTCTTGTCAAGAATATCCTCCCCAAAAACTCTCATTTGATTAACTATTTCTTTAACTTTAGAATAGTAATCTTTAACTGTCTCAGACTCCTTCATCTTCAATAGTTCAAAATCTCTTCTTAGAGATTAAAGTTTGACAGCACGTACCTTGTCATTTCCTTGAAACTCCTCCTGCAACGTCTTCCACGCTTCTTTTGCAGTCTTAGCTCCCATAATTCTTGGAAAAATTGCATCAGTCACCGCTTGTTGCAAGGTGAACAATGTCTTTGAATTTTTCTGTTTATTTTTCTTCAACTCTTTTTCTTGAGCTGCATTTAGAGCTGAAGTATCTATGGGAGCGATGAAGCCTTCTTCTACTATGTCCCATAAATCTTGAGATGAAAAATATGTCTCCATTTTAACACGCCAGAAATCATAATTTTCACCATTGAAAATAGGGACACAAATAGTTGATGATTGAGTAGTGTTATCCATGGCTTAGAAAAAATATTGTAGTGGGTTAATAGTATAAGGGGAATATTTTGAAGTAGTTTGGAGGATTTTGAAATGGTAGGTATTAGTATAACTACGCCCAATGTATGACTGAACGTAGCTCTGATGCCACTGTTAGAAATTGTTTAGATGATAGTTGGTAGAAGATAGTTTTAGAGAGTAGTTTAGAAAGAAGGTTTTTGATTAATTTCTTGGATGATTGTTTACAATGTAGCAAATGCCTATTTATAGGCTCAAGTCACCAACCTTTCAATAGTGGTGAATATTCTAGAGTTCTCATGATAGGTTACTATCATGATAAATCTAGATTTTTCTATCTTTGCCATATACTTATATATCTAGATTATTCTACCATATTCATACACCTTATAGTTTCTAGGATGTTCTATATTTTGTTACATATTATATTTAAGAACTCTCTAGAAATTTGTAGCAAATTTAACAATAACAAAACTAATGTCGAATGTGATCACCGACAGATCATTGAACCTTATGTATCCGACATTGATGATTATCATCGAACAACTGAGGTAAACATTGAGAATGTTTAGAGAGAGGTTACTATAAACATGAGGGAAACATTGGTGGATTGGCTAGTGAAGGTTGCAGACGAGTACAAGCTTCTTCCTGAAACCCTCCATCTATGTATCTCCTACATTGACAGATTCTTATCTCTGAAATCCGTTAGCGAAACAAATCTTCGGTTGGTTGGTGTTTCGTCTATGCTCATTGCATCGTAAGCCCTCCAAAACTGTTTTAGTTTTGTTATTTATCGATGTTCCCAAGTTATTTTCTTAAGCATCACACAATTTTCAACTCGTTTTTAATATGCAGTAAGTACGAAGAAATCACACCACCAAAGGCGGTGACTTTCTGCAAAATTGCTGATAACAATTATGACCTTTCAGAGGTAAATATCCTTTTCTTTTCTATGATCTTGAACTAGATTTTGTTGTTTGAGTTAGTTTATTTATTTATTTCGGTGTCGTTTTGTTTCTCTTTCTCATGTATGTTGCTGTTACTTTAGATTTTAAATATGGAAATTGACATACTCAAGTCGCTAAATTATGAAATGGGAAACCCTAATGTTACCACATTTCTAAAGTAAGCACATTTTTTTATTCTAACAATCTGAATATCTAAAGTTAATTGTATTGATTATTGTTTGTTTTGTTTCATAATCATATCAGGAGGTTTGTTGGACTTGCTTGTGGGAATCAAAAGGTAAGTTGAACTATATTTGTTTATTAGTCGGTGATGTCAAAAGCTTTTATTATGTTTATTAATTGTTGTTATGTTTGTTTTTAATTGTAGAATTTGAATTTACAGTTTGAACATCTGTGCAACTACCTTGCTGATCTAAGCTTGTTGGACTATGAGTGTATAAGATTCTTGCCTTCTGTTGTGGCGGCATCGGTTATATTTCTCGCTAGATTTATTGTTCAACCAGAAGTACATTCTTGGGTAAATTTCTCATGTTATGGTATTTAATCAGTTTGATTCATTAAAAAACATGAGTTTTCAGTGTACTTAATGTCGATAATCTAATGCAGACACCATCCTTGTATGAATGCTTGGGTTACAAGTCATCTGAGTTGAAGGAATGTGTTGTTATTTTACATGACTTGTATTTTTTAAGAAGGGCAACATCCTTGAAAACTCTTCGCAACAAATACATTAAAAAAAAGGTGATTGATTATTTGATTTTTCGATGTTTTCTTTTGTTATAGGTAATTCTTATTATTGCAAGTTGATTGACTTGAAATCATTGTTTGGAACAGTTCAAATGTGTGGCCAATTTGCCTTCTCCGCTAGAGGTGCCGACTAGTTACTTCGAAGAAACGTGATAACGTGTGAATTTAAAGAACTTTTTCAGGCTTCACAACAAATTTTGAGGGTTGTGGTGTTTGACAATCAACTTAATTAGCCAGGCTGAAACTATTTGCAATGGCTACTTGCTGCTAGATCTTGACATATATGATAGTTCATTTTTGTTATCAAGTTGTCACTTACAGAATAGGACATAGTGCATTTGTTAGTGGAACTTTTTGTGTTTAACTATTTAGGATCTGTTTGTTGAAAGTATAGTTACATCAAATGTAAACAAGTTCAAGAGATATATATGATACACTAATTGGTATTATTTTTGCAATGAAAAATACAAGACTTTGCCTCTATAGTTCAACATCTATCTTTATATATTCTTGCTATATTCACTGTCTCTTAATGTTTTAGTCATATTATTCTTCCTCTTACCTCAATTCTTGTTTATTAGAGGTATGGGGAAAGGAAAAGAAAATTATAATGGAGCACCAACATTGCTATTATCAGCAATTTAGAAAATGAATGATGGTTTTATTGTGTTGTTCAATTAGCAGCACTGTACAATGTAGTTATTAGCTAGTAGCTAGCATCACAAGCCATCAGGGAGTGTAAGGACACAGAGCCTGCAAGTTACATGAATTCTTTGCCAAAACCATGGAAGGAAATGTCCCCCAACTATGAGGTGCAATTTATTTCCCACATCACCAACACGAGCCACAACCCGCTGCATACATTTGAAAAGCTTTTGGACACCCTTTTGTTGGATTATTTCTAGCTAGTTTTGAGGATAGTCCAGTTAGTGTCTTTGAAGATGTTATGAATCACGACTGTTTTAAAAAAATTCATAAAATTGTACCGAATCAAAAAACCAAACCAAATTGTCGTTAAATAACCAAATTATATCTTCAGTTCATGAACCAAACCACTGTTTATTAAGCAGTTTAATAATTTAATCGAACCACATTTAGTCAAATCAAAATTTACCGAACCAAAACAAATCAAACATTTAGTATATGGTATTAGGACTTTTAAGTAAACTTTAATTTCAGGAAATAGTTAAAAATAAATATGGTATTGGTACCATAGTATAAATAATTTTATTACTAATAAAGAAATCACTTAACATGTTATAAAAAAACAAATTTATTATTCGAAGTCTAATTTCACATATAAAATGGAATAAAATTTGTAAACAATACACAATTAACACATGTATATAAATGAGAAAAATATAATATAATACAGTAAAAATACATATATTACGTGGATAATTTTTTAAAACTCTATGTATTATATTTATGATATATATATGACAAAAGGAAAGAGCATAAACCATCTTCTATTGGTAAGGATTGTCCGTAAAAGAAAAATTCACAAAGAAAGATGGTAGATTTGTGAAGAAGAAAGGTAAAGTTCTACAAAATATTTATGGTGGTAATGCTCCTGCAATTAAGTGTTATCATTGTAAGAAGAACGTACATATAGAAAGGTGTGCCTTGAACGTCTGAACAATCATGTATGGTGGAAAGGATAATAGTAATGCAACCATTGTGCAAGATGATTATGAATCATATGATATATTAGAGAAATAATTGTATATTTCTTATTGATAAAAAGTGAATTATTACATGAACTTATAGCTGATTACATGAGAGAATTATGATAGAATATTCTCCAACAACTATATTAGGAGAGCCTAAATAGGGAAAGAAATAATAGGTAATTAAATCCTAAGACTAACAAATAAGAAGGAAATATCAAGTAATTAATTCCTAATAGCCCCCCTTAAGCTGGAGAATGTATGTTTAACAGTCCCAGCTTAGCAAAAATAGCAGAAAATGGTTGCGGTTCCAGCGGTTTGGTGAACAAGTCTGCCAGTTGATTGGTAGAAGTAATTGGAAGTAAATGAAAAAGGTCGGCTTGTAGTTGTTGACGGACAACGTGACAATCAATATCAATATGTTTGGTTCGCTCATGAAATATTGGATTCATAGCAATGTGTCGAGCAGAGTTGCTGTCACAATATAAAAGAGTCGGTTTTGTGAAAGGGATGTGTAGGTCTTGAAGTAAGTATGTAAGCCATTGAAGTTCACAAGTGGTAGAAGCTAGAGCTATGTATTCAGCTTCAGATGAGGAACGAGATACTGTGGTTTGTTTCTTTGATCGCCAGGAAATTAATGAAGAACCCATGAAAATGCAGAAACCGGTGGTGGATCTGCGAGACATAGGGCAAGTTGCCCAATCTGAGTCACTGAAGGCCTTGAGATGAATCGGTGAATCAGAAGAAAAATATAAACCATGTCCAGGTGCATTTTTAATGTAACGAACAATTCTAAGAGCAGCTTCGTAGTGATTTGCGGTTGGATTTTGCATAAATTGACTTAAATGTTGAACGGCAAAACTGATGTCGGGGCGAGTATTAGTCAAGTAGAGAAGACGACCAATGAGACGTCGGAAGGCAGTTGGATCATGAGGAGGAGAAGTGGTATCATAGAGAGGTTTTGTGTCTTTCATCATTGGAGTGGTAAAAGGTTTGGCTGCAAGCATCCCTGTATCAGCAAGAATATCTAATGCATATTTGCGTTGGCTTAAGTGAATTCCTTCGTTGGTGCGAGAAACTTCAAGGCCAAGAAAATATTTGAGATTACCTAAATCTTTGATGCGGAAAGTAGAGTGAATAAAGCTTTTAACGTGATTTATTTCTGTTGATGAATTTCCGGTGAGGACAATGTCATCTACGTATACTAGGAGAGCAGTGAAAGTGTTGAGAGATGACTTGATGAATAATGAGTGATCATATTCTGAATGATGATAGCCGAGACTACTGAGAGTGGAAGACAGTTTGCTGAACCATTGCCTACTAGCTTGACGAAGACCGTAAAGGGATTTGTTGAGACGACACACTTGATTAGGAGAGGTAGGAATGATGCCGGGTGGCAACTCCATGTACACTTCTTCATGGAAATCACCACGAAGGAATGCGTTGTCCACATCCAATTGTTGAATGATCCATTTTTCACTTGCTGCAATAGAAAGTAAAAGACGAATAGTAGTTAGTTTAGCAACAGGGGAAAAAGGTATCAAGAAAATCTACCCCTTCTTGTTGAGTGTAGCCTTTGGCTACAAGACGGGCTTTGTAGCGTTCTAGAGTGCCATCAGCTTTGTGTTTAATACGGTACACCCATCTGCAACCAATAGCAACCTTGTCTTTGGGTAAGGTGGTGAGGGACCAAGTATTGTTAGTTGCGAGTGCTTGAAGTTCATTGTTCATGGCATCAATCCATTATTGGGATTTGATGGCTTGTTTATAGGTTTGTGGTTCAATAGCATTGGTAATTGAAAGTGTCTAATGAAGATGAGATGGTGATAATTTGTGATAAGATAAAACAAAATGCAAAGGATATAGTGAGTTAGTGGTAGATGAGGAAGGTGGGAGTTTAGCATTACAATGAAAGTCTTTGAGGTAGCCAGGGGCTTTGGTGGTTCTAGTTGATCTTCTTAGGTTGGTGGTGTCAAAAGATGGATGTGGATTGGGTAGAGGAACAATGGAGGATGAAGAATCACATGGCAAGTTTGGGGATGGAGTTGATGGAGTGGAGATAGGTTGTATTGATGTTGGTTGTGATCTGTCATACTTTGTAGAGTCCTCAGGATCATCAAATAGAAAGATGGAATAGTCTTGATCTACAAAGTCAATACTAAGAGAAGAATCAGTAATGTCAGCATAGGGAAAAGTAGATTCATAAAAAACAGCATTGCGAGAAACGAATATTTCTCTAGTAGAGAGGTCAAAAACAACATAACCTTTGATGCCAACTTTGAAACCTAGGAAGATGCATTTTTTAGCTCGTGGATCAAGTTTGGTGCGATGTTGTTCTAAGGTAGAAACATAGCATAATGAACCGAAAACTTTGAGGTCAAGAAAAGTAGGAGGTTTATTATAAAGTAATTCAAAGGGAGACTTATTTTGCAGAATAGGACTAGGCAATCTATTGATCAGATAAACGGCCTGAAGAACAGCATAAGACCAAAAACATTTGGGAAGTTTAGCGTGAAAAAGAAGGTTCCTAGTGACATTAAGTATGTGACCATGCTTCCTTTCAACAATAGAATTTTGTTGAGGAGTAGCAACACAAGAGGTTTAGTGTAGGATGCCACATTTATCATAAAATTCTTGATAGAGAAATTCTGATCCATTGTCCGACCTAATAGATTTGACAGATTTGTTAAACTGAGTTTTGACAAAAATAACAAAATTTTGCAAAAGACTTCTTGTTTCAGACTTAGCAGTCATTAAAAAAAATCCAAGTATGCCTAGTATGATCATCAACGATAGTTAAGAAATACTTATGGCCATGTAAAGATGGAATAGAGAGTGGTCTCCAAATATCAACATGTAATAAATCAAAGGCGTGTAAACTAACAGAAGAGCTTAAAGGAAAAGGTAATTTGCATTGTTTAGCATAGTGACACGAGTCACAAATTCTTTTATCATCATATTTGATATAAGGAAAAATAGTACACACTTGTTCAAGGACCTTATTTGAGGTATGTCCCAAACGAAAATGCCAAGTATCAAAAGATGAAGTAATACTTTTAACAGTAATATCATGAAAAATAGATGAAGCTTGGGGCAAAGGATCTTTAATATAGTAAAGTCCATTGTGAAGTCTAGCAAGACCAGTCATCTTCAAACTTGTAGCTTCCTGAATATTGCAAATAGAATCATGAAAGGTTAATTTGCAATTAGAATTGAAAATAAGAAGATGAACAGAGACAATATTCAATTTGAATGTAGGTAAATAAAGAACATTATATAATTTAAAAGAAGGAGAGAATTCAATTGTGCTAGAAAAATTTGCTACAACAATCGATCCATCGGGTAAAGAAACATTAATAGGATTGATTCTGCGAAAAGAAGTAAAGTATTTCTTGGAATGGGTAACATGATCAGTTGCCCCACTATCAAGAATCCAATAATCTTTTGCAGGATCAATGGTACCTGGCTCAATGGATGTATTTT